GGGGAGAGCGCTGAGACAGACTAGGGCCAGTGAGGATTCCCAGGCACTCACAAGGAATCCTCACACCCTGTAAAACTGAAAGGACGCAGAATAAGAAAGCGGGACTAAAGACCCAGGTCTGAAGAGCAGTTGGAACCGTGTTCAGGCAAAAACGAAGGAATGATGACGTGACGTTGCACAAAGGAAAGACGTGGGTAGGAATCAGGAGCACCTGTGAGGGCTGCGCTGCCCAGTGTCCGAGGTGTGGTCATCGGTGGAGACCTGTCACTTTGGAAGGCCAGTTCCTTGCCGTTTTATCATTTGCATATATTTTCTGCACTGTTTTTCCTGTGAACATACTTCCTGCGCTTTTTCATTCTCATTGTAGTAAAGACATTTTAAATGAGAAAACAGAGAGAGATGTAAGACCAAGCACCACGGAGGCTCAGCAGCCGCCCTTCTTGCTGGTCGGCTTCTGAAGGGGGTGGAGCCCCTGACACTGCACCCCCCACCCTGCCTCCAGCACAGCCCTCTCTTCCCAGAGCATGCCCTGTCCTCTGTCCTGCAAGAGCACCCTGCAGGACAGCCCTGGCCACCTCTGGCAGAGCCCCTGGGAGCCACTGCACCAGGTTTCCTGTTTTCCCTGTCCAGCCCGGTTCCACAGCTGCCCCCCCCCCCCCCCCCCCCCCCCCCGCCTGATTCGGAAATCCAAGGATGATCTGAGGTTCCGTGAATTGAAGTGGAGCAGTGGCTGGGAGGGCGTGCCCCGACCAAGCGCCTCCTGACACTGCGTTCCTGGCCTGCTTCCTCAACAGGAGCATTTCCCAGCCACACTGGACCCAGGAACAGAGGGGCAGCGGGTGGGTCATTTGAAGTCTGTCTGCTCTTCACAGTAACAGGGGAAGCGAGACAGGAAGACAGAGTCAGAGGAGACAGAAGGAAAGGCCCAGGGGAGAGGAGAGGGAGGGAGGGAGGGCGGGGCTAGGAGATGGAGGGGCCCAGGCCTGAGAAGCCAGGCGCGGTGGTCCACGCCTGTCATCCAGGCTCAGGAGGCTGAGGCAGGAGGATCATGAGTTCAAGGCCAGCCTCAGCAACTTAGCAAGGCTCTAGGTAACAGCCAGACCCTGTCTCTAAATAGAAAATAAAAAGGGCTGACATGTGACCTGCTATCCCAGGTGGCAGAGAGAGAGGGAGGGAGGGAGGGAGAGAGAAAGGTGAAGGAAGGAAGGAGGGATGGCAGAGGGAGGGAGGGGTAGGGCTGAGCAGCCAAACTCCGAGGAGGCAGGTGGCACAGGCCCCTGGGTCCAGCGTCTTTCCCTTGTTCTGCTGGCCTGGTGCGACCTGCAGACCCAGGCCTCTGGCCCCACATTCGCTGCCCACCCCTCAAGACTCACAGGAGACTCCCCCCACCACCCGCTCACCTGTGGTGTCCAGCAGAGCCAGAGGCCCGGGCGCTGGTGCGGACGGCATCCTGGGGGCGCACAGAGCCAATGCCCTAGGGGCTGCTCCTGCGCTCACCCTGGGCAGCAGCCCAGCAGATGGTGGCCACAGTGGGGCAGGAAGAGCCGCCGGCAGCACTGCCCCCGTCAGGCCCAGTCTCCTCTCGCCCCGCCTCTTTCCCTCCCTCTTCCCCCCTCCCTCTGCATCCCTCCGCCTTCTCTCCCGCCCGCCCCGCCCGTCTGTCCCCCCACCACTCTGCTCCAGCCTGTGCTGGACATTGGCCAGTGGGAGCGTGCACTGCCCAGGGTGCGGGTGGGGTGCAGAGCCCCTCAGGAGCACACCACGGGGGTGCTCGCTCCTGGCCTGCACCCCGACACAGGGCCTTGGGCAGCAGCACAGTCCTTGCTTGCACAGGACTGTGTTGGACGCCGGGGTTCACAGCCACTGACCCCCACACCCCGTCTCCTGGCCATTGCCCTGGAGCTGTGGGGAAGAAGGGGGGCTAGAGGGCGGGCTTACTGGACAGGGGCCTGCACAGAGGCCACTTGTCTGGGAGGGCTCAGGCCTGGTCCCTGGTGGAGCACTTGTCTGGCAGCCGAGGCCCTAGGCAGCCCCAGCCCCCTGAGAAGATGCCCCCCGTAATCAGGAACGGCCCTGGAGACTGCCCGGCAGTCGCTCCTCTCTCCTGCTGCTGCTGCCACAAAGCTGGGGTCCCGAGTCACAGCACGAAGGTGTGGGAGCTCCCACGGCTGGGGACACACCTGGCACAGCCACCTGGGAGGCCCTCAGCCCTCCCTGAGGACACACAGGAGGCCCAGGCCCTGCTGCCCTGGAACAGCAGAGGGGTCCTGAGTCCACCTGGGCCCTTGAGCAGGAACCTGGAAGCCGGGTGATGTTGATCATGCCCTGCTGTCCCCACAGGCCACTGCGAAGGTGGCCAGCTTGCACACCCACACGGAGGTGCACACCAAGCACTGGTCAGTGGACACTGGACACCACCTGCACGGACAATACCAGGAGGGGTGAGCACGGGGACACAGCAGCAGGGGGACACCCTGGTTCACACTTACAACACGGGGTGGCTACAGTTTAAAGCACCTGTGGTCAGGGGCAGAGGACACCCAGAGCCGTGTGCACTGCACAGCACAGTGCTACCACCGATTGCCAAGCAGCAGCCAGGCCACCCTGTGTGGGAGAGGCCACTTGGAAGAGTGGAGGGAGAGCGGATTCCCACATGGAGATGAGCAGTAACAGGAGTGACCACCCTCAGCAGGCTGTGGTCACTAGGCCTCCTCGCAGGAAGCCTGGCCCTGTGCGCTGCCTGTGGGGAGGTGGTGGCCCTTGCAAGGGTCTCAGCCCAGGTGGTGGGGCCTTGGGGGCCGACCTCGGAAGGGGCCTCTGGAGTGGGACTGCTGGGAAGCAAGGCCAGCCTCCGGTTCTGCCTGCTGTCTCACCCTTGGTCCCTCTCCACGTGTCCGCTCGGGACGCTGTCCCCCAGAAGGCCTCCAGGACCGAGTGGAGACGCCCCGCTCTGCACCCCGCCAGTCTCAGACGTGCTCTGGAAACGGGACCCCCAAGTGCAGCAGACTGGAAGGCCATGCTGGGGCGGACGGCGGTGGGCAGGGGCCAGACGTGGAACAGGGCCACACCTGCACTGCTGGGTGGCCCAAGTGGGCCTCCTCAGATGGGACACCTGAGCCCAGTCTCCAAGGCCCATGGCCACAAGCCACCCAGGTGCCTGGGTCTGGGGACCCCATGCAGGGGCCCAAGGAGGATGAGGCTGGGATGTGAGCCCAGGGAGGCCAGAGGCCGAGCCAGGAGCTGCAAGGCCCGAGCCCTCCTGGGTGGGCCTGGGGCCTGACAGAGGGCAGCACAAGGGCCCAGAGACCGGTTTCCAAGGTCCCGGTCCCAGGGCAGGGAGGTGGCCTGACCAGGAGGGGAACCAAAGGCAGTGAGGCCTGCTGAGGCCACAGGGGACCAGGGTGACAGCGCAGCCCCCGGAGGGGACCCTCACTGACGTGCAAGGGTACAACGCCAAGGGCACAGGGCACACGCTAGCCAGCCAGAGTGGGCATACGTGAAGGAATTCTGCCCTCAGGGAACAGGTGTCCAGAAATGGCCACCAGGCCTGGCCCATGTGACTGACCTCCACAACAGAACGAAGGCTGACGCTGCAGAGCTGTCTCCATAGACACAGGAATGGCCCTGCACGACCAGAGGACCCCAGCCCCCACCAGAGCAGGGTGACTTCGGAGCCGACAGCAGTGTCCACTCCCAGCCAACAGCAAACTTAGGGCGGAGGACAGTGCTCCCCTGCGACACGGGCCTCAGAAACACGCCTTCTGGTCCCACCCTGTGAGTGCCACAGGGACCCAGGAGGTCCACGGAACGGAAGAGCACGGGCACTCGCTCGGACGGGGAGGCCGTGGGGTGGTGTGGCTGGACGGTACCAGGGGGACGTGGGCAGTACTGTGAGCCTGACGGCGTGGCGCGTGTGTGCCAGCCCCTCTGCAAGAGTGACCGTGTCCAGCCCCACCCCCGCCTGCTGGGCGCGGACCACGGGCCTGGGGTGGGGCAGGCAGGCACCGCTGATGGTCTCCTGGCCCCGTTGGCAGCCAGGTTAGAGCAAGCGGCCCTGGACTGTGGGCTCCTGGGAAGACCGGGACGTCACTGCCACTCAGGGGTCAGGAGTGAGCCCCTCCGGGATCCTGCCCCCGGGACGCCACACCTGGGTGTCGCAGGTGCTCTGACACCAGGTCCGCACAGTTCTGCCGTGGAAGTGTCACAGGTTGGAGGTGTGCCATCGGGTGGTGCGCTGTGTCCCCTCCTGGGCCTCCTCTGCAGACCTGTCCCCGGCTCCCAGGACCCGCTTTCGGGCTGTTCTGCAAGTTCTAGCATTTCCTACGGATGACCCTGCACCCGGCCACCTTTCCCTGGGCGTGTTGACCGATGTCCGCAAGCGCAGCTGCTGCGTCCGTGTCCTCCCTGCTGCCGAGCTCTGACTGGGTGTTCTGCCAGGACCTGTCTTCTCACTCTCCCTGCCAGGAGCGCTCGGCCTTAGCAGGGCCAGCTGGACGCTGGTGAGCGGGTGTCTCTGTTCCTCTCGAGGCGCGGTCCGGTGGAAGCATGGAGTGATGTGGCCTCTCACAACCCCGGGGCTGGGCCGGGGAAGGCTGGCGGCCTGCTGTTCTGGTGTCTGCCATGGCTGCTTTCAGGGTCAGTTGGACTGGGGGCACCTAGACAGCTCTGGCACCTTACTCTGGCCTGTCTGGGAGGGTTTCCTGAGGAGACTGGCACAAGAGGGGGAGAGAAGGCCCACCTCTGTGTGGGTGGTGTGGCTGGACGGTACCAGGGGGACGTGGGCAGTACTGAGAGCCCGACGGCGTGGCGTGCATGCGGGTGAGCCTCTGTGTGTCAACCCACAGGACAGACTGGGCCTGGGCAGAACCAGGCAGGGCAGAGGCTGCCCACCCTCCCGGAGCTGGGGCGGCTTCATCCCCGAGGCTGGGCCCTGGACTCAAAGCCTTTGACAGCACCCAGAGTCGCCAGGCCTGAGACCTCAGCCTGTGAATCATCCCCCGGTGCCTTGGTTCTGAGCCTGGGACCTGCCCCACGACATGCCTCCCTGGGCCTCTGGCTGCAGGCAGCAGATGGTGAGGCTTCTCAGCCTCCGGAATCACATGAGGCAAGTCCCCTGGCAAATCCCCTCCCGCCTGCCGCCTGATCATGTCTCTGCTCTAATCCTATTTGTCCTGTCTCTCTGAAGAGCCCTAACCCACATCTTCTGGACACCCAAACGAGACAGCCACAGCTTTCCAAGTCGATGGCGGTGGACTCTGAGAGCCCCAGTAACTTTTCTTCTGTGTGTGGACACCCGCCAGACCCTCCTGCTCCTGGGATGGTGCTGTTCCCACGCACGACTGTGAGGTATCAGGCACTGGCCACTTAAAGGATTACTGGCAGCTATGAAGCTCACAGTATCGAACAAGCTTTCCCAAATCCCCACTGCCACCTGAGACCGGCCGTGCCGCCCTTGGGTCAGTGCTGCCGCAGTCTTCCTGGGAGGGACAGGCTCTCGTGTTTGTTTTGAGAAGATGCCAGCCCAGTTCCCAGTCTGAGGAGCCAGGAGTTGTCTGTCTGTCAGCTCGTGTCCATTGGGAGCTGGTGTGGCAGGAACCAGAGGTTGCAGGCAGATGCTCCGAGAGCCTCCTCCCACGCCCGGCCAGAGCCCCAGGCCGACGGGCAGTGGCCTCAGCCAACTCCGGCCTGCCGCCAGCCCGCTCCTCAGGGAGCTGCAGTCTGGGATCTGGGTGTTTTAACTGTGTGACTGGATTCAGCTCTCCCAAAAGGCACTGATGAGATGAGGCCATCGGTGCTGCGGTGGTCTGCGCACAGCCTGGGTAAATGGCAGGGACGGGCATGCACCTGCACATGAGCCAGGCACGCCCCTCAGCCTTGAGTGATGAGGGCATCGACGTGGCATGGCCCGCTGCGGGAGGCCAGTGGGCCTTTCCTTCACTGGGCAAGGAAGTGCCTCAGCTCGGGTCTTGGGCGTCACCCAATGGGATTGGGCTGCCCCCCAACCCCCGTCTCTGGAAACACTATCCCTGCCCTTACTGGGGTGGAATATTCTATTGGATGTCTTTCTCTTAATAAATAGAGGGGTTGGGTGGGCTCTGGCTCTTGTTCCTCGTGCCCTCTTTCCAGCGCACCTCAGGCTCCCCCCTGACAGCCTTCCCATGAACACAGGGCAAGGGGCCGACACCCGACTCCTACCTGTTCCTCACACCCAGACATGGGCTGAGCTCAACCCGGGCCTCAGAAGGCACCAGGCACCACGGGCTCCAGAGATGGGACCTGCCCTGACCGAGCGCCTCCACGGGCTGCACACTGCGAGCACCTGTTCCACGGTCCTGCTCGCCTGGTGCCCAGAGGTGCCCAGGACTAAGTGCCTTTCCCAGGCCGAGCAGCTGACCACGTAGGAAACGAGCCAGGTGGGTCTGACTCTCGAGGCACTGCCCCTCCAGGAG